TCATAGTGACTCTGGTACAGGGTTTCCAAGAGTGTAAATCTTAACGGGTGCAGAACGCCTCATCTTTCTCCAGCAGAACCGCTGGTAGTTTCGAAATGCTGACCTTGAGGATGGTAGCCCGACTCGTAACCACTGCACTACCAGAATCACAAAGTAGGCGGTTTAAACTCACGAACTGCTCCTTGGAAGCTCTATCTATACTGGGTTCGCTATGAGTGGAAACTGATTCGACAGGCACTTAACTGCAACCATCATCAAAATTATGTATATAAGCTAGTCGGCTCATCTATGCTTCACCAGTTTACATTCTTCCTGTGCAACTGTGTGGAGCTCAGCTTTTATAAGCTTAAATTTCTTTACCTAAAAAAACAATGATTTGAATCGAGTATCTAACGCAACAAAAATCCAATATCAAGTATAGATCATCTTTTTGAAGCTGAATGAACATTATAAATAGCTAAAGTTTCAAAGGTGATTGTAAGAATTTTAATTCTCAAAGATATTATAATATCCAAACATCACTAATGCCATCTTACAAAGACAAATAATTCCTTATCAAAAACTATTGTGGAACAAACAAGATGGCAGATTGGGTGGACGTATAGCAGAGAGCTCCGCCAACAACAACACAGAATACCCGACCAAGCAGGTTCAGGGGATGGTCCCAGAACTCTGAACCACATGTAAAGGAACACTTAGAAGGTTGGAAGGCTCACAGCTGGGGGATTTTGTGGCAGAAGCAAGAAGTCTACTGCTTTCTAGTCCGGGACGCTCAGGTGCTCCAGGAGCCACCATCTTGGGTGAGACCACGTGGAGAAAGGATTGGAGTGGCCACAGACGCCTGGCACAACCACTGAGATAAAGGTGTAGACATTCTTTTCTTTCGGTAGCTGTTCATTGGTCCCTTGCTGTCTGCACACCTCCATTCGGGTGACTATAGGGGTGCCTGAGCTAGTGGGCACCCCAGCCCCATCCTCGGAGGGTTCTACTTCGCATGCGCACAGATCTCCTGGAAATTTAAAGAGACAGTTTCCAATTAAAACCAAATGACCACAGCCGGCCCTGAACTGTTTCCAACTAGAAACAAGTCTTGAACGGGGATTGTGGAGTGGGACAAGCAGACAAAAGAGGAAATAGGCCGAAAATTAAATCCTAAGTT